CAACCTACTATGTTCCAGAATCATCAATGCACTTGCAATGTAACAATCACATCATTCACTGGACTATATCAAGTATGAATAAAAATAACAAGTAGCAAAAAAGAGAACCTAAAGGATCTCAGCAGAGTAGATGAGATAAGGTTCAAAGAGAATAAGAGTTTTTGATTGTCAAACTCTCTTGTGGTAAGCTCTTGAATTATTTCAAAAACCTTCTCCCCTTACTAGGTTCCTTTCAATGCATATGCGTTATTGACCAAGCGTGAGGTTATGATTGCAGGATTTTGGCTGAGTTCTTTTTTGTTTCTGTTTTTTTTTATGGTCAGAAACGAGGTCGAGGTCGAAGTCGATCAAAATGCAAAAAAGGAACTAGGAAGAAGGAGCTGAGTTCTCTTAACTCTTTTGGGAGATCGTTCCAGTCTTTCACAAAAGCACATTTGAACGACGACTGTCCCATTGCTGATGATATGGCTCTCCCTAAGTCTAATAAGGAAGTATTCCTTAGAGATTTTCTGTGTACTTCTGATCGCTTCACTAAATAATTATTTAACTGATTCGGAAAATTAATCTTATGGTCAGTTCTAACAAATACCTTTAGTTAGAAGTACTCCATAAACTTCCACTCTCAGAACCTTAAAAGTGTGATATGCTGTTGGCCAAAAGCGGATAAACTTTGCACTTGCAAATTCCTGTAGACTGTTTTTAATGATGCTATTTGGATTTGAGTTTCCAGAAAAGACCTATAGTTCGTGGTACAAATTCTAAATTAGTGTATCAAAATTTTCTTTATTTTACTGCATGACTTACCACTATTATATATCAGGTATTTCCATGTCTGTAANAGTGCCTACAGTTCTCCAAACAGCAACCGTCAGAGCCACTATAACCTTACAGCGTGGCTAGTTTCCCGTAGCAGAAGCTTGAATGGGATTTGCCAAACATGGGATACCAGTTAAGGAAATTTGTTGTGTTCTGCATCTACCTTGGAGCGGACGACTTCAGCTCTTGCGAAACATGAAGTGGAATCAAGAACATTGTCATCATCGACAAAACATCCCGAAATAGTATCTTAACAAGATGCGATGAACTACTAAAATTTGAAGTGTTTGGGAACTACTAAAACTACGAGTTTTCTGACTAAGTTTTCGGAATTGTTTAGCCCTGTATCTTGAAATCCTTGCGCGAGTCTTGTGCAAGTCCACATTTTTTATCTCTACATTTTGAGTGATGCACCCTTGACCGCTAGCGGTGTTTGGGTTTGTCCTTGACCTTGCTTAGTGTCCTCAAGGGGAGTTTATTTAGGTTTTAGTTCTCGAAGGTTGGCTGTTTCTCAAGTACTTTGTTGTTCATTTTGAATGTCTTGAAATATTGTTTTGGTTAGCATTCTAAAGAAACTATCGAAATTAGACCTATGAACTGTTTCACAGACTATATTATGACATATCAGCTAGGCCTTTTACGACTCTCATTGCATTACATTCAGCTAATTAGTCTTTCCTGTTTGTGTAGGGAGCCTTGCTGTTTATCAAACCTATTAGACTTTTCACCCCTTAGACATTACTCATGCGCCACAGGATGCGTCAGCACATGACACGTGCATTTTAGAGTTGTTTTCTTTCCTTTATCAATAAGATAGAAGTGAAAACCAGGAAGAGGCTACGAGCATCTTTACACAAATTATATCAAATGATTCAAATGGTCAAACAAGTAAGTTTAACCAGAATTGTAGATCAAATCTCACTTCAACTTAATTGGTATTTTACCCGATACTGTATGGCCATGAATTTGCTTTCTTTACCTCACAAAAATTACAATTGATCACAAATTAAAGATACTCTGACTTTTAAAGGTTCATAATGAACTTTTGAGTACAACAATAAACTCAAATTCAGCTTTTTCCTTTCAGTTATTCTCCTATAACTTAAATTTAGTTTCCTTGGTTGATATTTATTGACAATTAATTCTACATTGAGCATAGAAATAACAGGCCATTATAGGTGGCTTAGTGTCTGACTTCTTAGATTTCAACCAGTTATCAAAACAACAAGCATACGTCATCAAAATAGACTAAAAAAGTAAAGAC